AGCAGGCCTGCCTACCGCGTTGGCGCTCAGCGCCCGATGGGCGGCGGGTAGGCCACCCGCACGCAGCCCCGCTTAGCAGGCCTGCCTACCGTGCTGGCGCCTACACGCAGTCCGCCCGATGGCGTGGCTGGCGAGAGGGCGCTGGACTTGGCTGATAGCAAGATAAGAATACCCGGGGCATGATTCAAACGAAAGGAGAGCCCGGGGCGCCGCGCGGACGGGCGAGCGGACAAGCAGACAGACGGACCGATCAAGATGGGGCCGGACGACAGATAAGGCCAGGTGGATCCCTTTCGGCCGCGCGTCCTCACCGCGGCACCCAGCAGACGACAGCATGCCGACGTCGCGGAGGGTGCACCTGCTGCTGCTGGTGGTGGTGGCGTCCACCCGCCTGTGCGCCGGCGCCGAGCCCGCGCTGGGGGACGCGAAGGAAGGCGAGAAGGCTAGCAGCACGGCGGCGGGCCGCGCCCCCGTGGTGGAGACGCGAGGCGGTCGCATCAGCGGCAAGGTGCTCAAGTCGGACGGCGGGCGTCAGTACTTCGCCTACCTCGGCGTCCCGTACGCAAAGCCTCCGGTGGGCGAGCTGCGCTTCAAGGTAGGGGAGGATGAAGGAGTCGGCGGAGAGTGCGAATACCCAAACAGTAAGATCGTTCATCTCGTTTCCTTCCCAGTTTCCCCGTCGAGTGAAGGAAGGGGAGTGGGACGGGGTGCGCCGCTGCGACACAGACCCGCCCAAGTGCCCCCAGTTGACCTACCCCGAGCGGCACTACGAGGGCGACGAGGACTGCCTCTACCTCAACCTGTATACGCACAAGGCGAGTCGAAGCGACCAACTGTTTGGTTTGGACACCACCAGCGTGCAGACCGCTGGAACATTTTTATTTGTTTCGCAGACTGAGGACACCAAGGTGGACGTCGAGGAGCTGGTGCCCCGCCTGCGGCCCGTGCTCGTGTGGTTGCACGGCGGGAACTTCCAGCACGGTTCCGGCACCTTCGACGACGTGGGTCCAGAGCGCTTCATGGACAGCGACGAGGACATCGTGCTGGTCGTGCCCAACTACCGCCTCAACGCGCTGGGCTTCCTCAGCATCGGGGAGCACCCCGCGGTGGGCAACGCGGGCATGAAGGACGTGTTCACGGTGCTGTCGTGGGTGCAGGGCCAAATCGCGCGCTTCGGCGGCCACCCCGGGCGCGTCACCCTGGGCGGGCACCAGGCGGGCGCCGCCGCCGCGCACCTGCACGCCCTCAGCCCGCTGTCCTCGCACGAACCAGGCAGGTGCACTAGGAAACCGACAACGGGAGCGAGGAGGCCGCCCTCTAACTGCGTCTGTCTGCAGACCTGTTCCAGCAGACGCTGTCCCTGTCCGGCAACGCCCTGGCGCCGTGGGCTGTCCAGTCGACGGCGGAGGCCAAGAAGCGCGCCCTCAAACTGGCCCGCGTGCTCGGCTGCGCCAAGAAGGGCGTCCCGGACGAGAAGGTCGACGCCCCTGCGGCCGTGCGGTGCCTGCGGACCAAGTCGGCCGAGGATATCGTGCGGGCCTGCGGCCAAGTGTTGGTAGGATGCAAGCCCCGGCCCTGGCCTGCCCCGGCCCCTCCCCCCGGGCCCAGAATGATGCATTGGCTAAGGGTAGGACTCACCCCGCAGGACTGGCACTCAGACCACTCCTTCCCGTTCGCGCCGTCCGTGGAGCAGTTCGACGGCCACAACCGCCCCTTCATGATCACGCACCCCGAGGAGGCGACCAGCCTGCGCGGCGCGAAGACGTGGGTCACCGGCGTCACGACACACGACGGGCTGCCCCAGGCACTGCGTGAGTCCCGGGGGTGTTCCACACGTTGACACCCCTGCTCGCACTAACGACTGGCGCGACAGAATTGATGGTGTTCAGGGGCATGCTGAGCGAGCTCAACGAGCGCTTCGAGGACGTGATCTGGAAGTACCTGGGCATGGAGCACATCGTGGAGCAGGCCGGCGCGGAGGCCACCGCGGCGGCGGCCAGGAGGCTCCGGGACTACTACTTGCCGGGCGACCAGCCCATCACCCTCAGCACGCTGCCCGGACTCGTGGACGTGAGTGCGCGCGAGTGGCTACAGCACGCTGTAGGCGTAGGCACTATGGTCTCTTAACATGTTTCTGTTACCGTCGTAGATGACCTCGGACGCCTTGTACCACCACAGTCTCAGTAGGGCCGTTCTTCTGCACTCCGCCAGCAAAAGGGCACCCGCACTGGTCTACCGTTTCGGGTTCGATCGGCACGAGGACAGGACTCACGTGCTAGGTAACGATCTGAAGGAAAGTGGGGCCATGGTAACAGTTTCAAAGGGCAGAGGAAGAAATGTTGAGATGTGCCAATGGGTCTCATCTACCTTTTTCTAAATGTCTTATCATACAAATGTACCAAAGTACAAATGATCATTATTGAGTGTTTAACAGTACACACAGCTCCTCATGACTTTTTTTTGTTTTTGCCTTTTACAAATAATTACCAAGGCCTCACTTCCATTTAATAATGGACTCTTATATTATTGATGGTACCCTCCAATGCCACGCACTGCTATAACTTTCACTGCATTCCTAGGTGTGCCTCTTGGAACTGATGTAGAGCTCCTGTTTCCAGCCACATTTGCAGAAGAGAAATCAAAACTTCTCAAACAAGAAAAAGAAATGTCAAGAAAATTGTTGAAGCTAACAGCTAATTTTGTCTCTATTGGGTAAGTACTATTGGCAAAAATAAGGTTCTTGCTCTCTTACTTTTAAGCAGCTGCCTTTCTCTTCGTTTTTAACTACTTCCAATGCAAGTAATTCCTGCAACTAGGGCACATTTTAATGGGTATATAGTTGGTATGAATATTTCCTTTCCTATTATCTTTCAGTGATCCAACCCCAGATGAAGAGAACTTATTGGATAATGCGCTTTGGCCTCCAGCTAAAGATGCTAATTTTTCATTCTTGGACATTGATTTAAAAGGAAAGATTTCAGTAGCCAAGGATGGTTTTTATGTTGAGCGCATGGCCCTATGGAACTCAATTTTCAAGGATCTTGAGAAAACCTCACACAAAAGTGGACCCAAACGTAGGAGTGTTGGTGATAATCAGGCTGTGAAGGATGAATTGTAATACATTTTTTGAAAAATCAGTCTAAATTGATAAAAAATTTATATTTAAAAATCAG